AAAACTATCTTTAAAAATTGATGGAGAAATAAGATACTTTCATGACAAAGAGCACCTTAGGAACTACATGAATACCAAACCAGCACTCCAAAAAATTTTAAATAATATCCTAGGAAAAGACAACAGGATCACAATCCCAGGAAGCACAGCAGAATGAATCCATCAGGCACGACAAGAAATTAAATACAAAGGGGGAGAATCCAACATAAAGAAAAAGTCATGACAAGGATGAGTCAATATATATCAGTTATAACCATCAATGTTAATGGTCTCAATTCACCAGTCAAAAGAAATAGACTGGCAGAATGGGTCAAGATGCAAGATCCAAGAAGCAAGATCTTGCTGCATACAAGAGACACTCTTAACTCAAAAAGAAACTCATAGACTGGAAGTTAAAGGGTGGAAAACAATACTCCATGCAACAGGAACCTGAAAAAAAGCAGGAGTGGGTATCCTATTTGCAAATCAAATAGATTTCAAATGAACACTGATTAAGAGGGACAAAGAAGGGCACTACATCCTTGTAAAGGGAACAATCCAAGATGAAGAGATGACAATCATAAATATATATGCACCAAATACTAGTGCATCCAATTATATATAACAAATACTAATAGATATGAAAAATTAAGTAAGCACTAATACAAGAGTAGTAGGGGACCTCAATACCCCACTGTTACAAAGAGATAGATCAACAAGACAGAAAATAAACAACAAAGTATTAGAACTCAAGCAAACTCTTGAACAAATGAACCTAACAGATGTTTACAGACTGTTCCACCCCACAAAATCAGAATACACATCCTTTTCAGCTGCATACGGTTGTTCTCTAAAATACACAACATACTCACTCAAAGAACATGTTTAAGTAAGTGCAAAGGAATTGACATTATCCCTTGTATATTGTCAGACCATAGTGCAATGAAATTGGAGATCAATAGCAAAAGAAACCGCAAAAATTTCATAAACACATGGACATTGAACAACACACTTCTGAATAACCAATGGGTCACAGACAAAATGAAAGAAGAAACCAGTTTCTACAGTTAAATGACAATGTCAATACAAAATACAGGATTCTATGGGACACAATGAAAACAGTCTTATGAGGGAAATTCATAGCACTGAATACTCATATTAGGAAAACAGAGAGCTCAAATAAACAACCTGATGCAGAACCTCAAGCTTCTAGAAAAAGAAGAGCAGGACACACCCAAAGCTCATACAAGGGAGGAAATTATAAAGATCAGAGCAGAAATCAATTCAATGGAGACTCAGAGAACAATACCAAAAAATGAACAAAGCAAAGAGTTGGTTCTTCGAAAGAATAAAGAAAATTGACAAACCCTTGGCTAAACTTATCAAAAAAAGGAAAGAAAAGACCCAAATCTATGCAATTATGAATAAAAAGGATGAAATTACAAAGGACCCAGCAGAAATCCAGAGGATCACCAATACCTACTTCGAGAAACTATATGCCAATAAGATGGAAAATACAGAAGAAATGGACAGATTCCTAGATATGTATGAACTACCAAAGTTTAACAAAGAAGACCTAAAAATTCTAAACAACCCAATATCAATCAATGAACTTGAAAACATAATTAAAAACTTACCAACTAAGAAAAGTCCAGGTCCTAATGGCTTCACTGCTGAATACTACAAGACATTTAGAGATGAAATACTGCCACTACGGTTTAAATTCTTCAGTGAAGTTCAAAGGGAAGCAATACTCCCCAAATTCATTCCTGGAAGCAAGCATCACCTTGATCCCCAAAGCGGAGAAAGACCCAACCAAAAAAGAGAACTATAGCCCAATCTCACCAATGAACATAGATGCAAAAATCCTTACTAAAATACTGGCAAATTGAATGCAGAAGATCATCATGAAGATCATACACCCTGACCAAGTGGAATTCATCCCAGGGATGCAGGGATGGTTCAACATACACAAATCAATCAGTGTAATACACTCTATCAATAGAGTCAAGGACAAAAACCATATGATCATCTCA